CTGGGCTCAGGGTTGGCCATGCGACCCACTGCTCTGACCCTGGGCTGTGGGTTGGCCATGCGACCCACTGCTCTGACCCTGGGCTCAGGGTTGGGAAGCTCACTGGGCTTGCACAGCGAAGCTTACTGCCCAGAGACCGAGGTGACACTTCAGGCTCCATCTACAATACCTTACTGTCTACTCTGCCAACTTCTAGAATTCAGGGAGAGAAAAGGGCTCTACGTAGATGTACACTGACACCCAACAAGGATCAAGTCTTCCTTGTTCTGGACATTGGCACTTGGCCCAATAACAGGCACACAGTGGACACAAGTAACTGTGCTTGTTGGAGAACATGCAGAATCCAGGAACGAATCTGGAGCACACCAACTATGATGTCCTTTGCTCTGGGGGTGACAGGAGACTAGAGATGCGGATGGGATGGTCCACGGGACTTCAGATGCAGTTTTACACAGTACAAACCAGAGGTGGTGACTCACGCCATTGCCCTTGACAGCATGCTGATCTGGCCACTTGGGTTAAGAGCAGAAACAGTAAGAAAAACGGCCTTCTGTCTGGTCCTTCTAGGTCTGCAAAGGCAACAGGCTCTCTGGGCCAGGATGTGCCGCAGGACCTAACAGAGTCATGTGCACAGTTTAAAAATAGTACTCAGTGACCCCAATTTACCTAAACTGCAATGATCTCAATAAATCCCCAGTAAGGCTACCACAGAGGCGCAATCTCACCTTCCCTGCACACTGCCCTGCTGTGGGCTGTGTACTTCTGGCACCCCTGGGCCCTCACCGTCCATGCCGGGGGAGCTCTCGCCCACTGTGCAGGTCCTGGGAAGGAAGCGCCTGAGCCTGGCAAGATAAAGCAGCCTTGGGGTGTGTAGTTAGGATCCCCCAGCACTTGCCAAACAGCCCCTGGGTGGGGCCGACCCTAGGAGGCTTGCTCTACACGGCCAGAAGAAGGGTATAAAGGTAGGGCCCTCTGACTCCACACAGGGACCTCTGCGCCTCAGACCTGGAGGTAGGGACCCTGGCACTGAAGGTGGTGCTCTCCTGCTGTACTAGCACTATGGGAGGTGGGTACAAGGAGCTGCACCCACTCCACCGTCCTGTCTGTGTCCGTGAGCCCCCTGGGAGGACATGTGGGGTAGAGCTCGGCCTGGGGCCCCACTTCTCTTCCATGTAAGATGGGAGTCAGGGGAGGCTATAGATAGCACTTACTGACGTCACGGTACTCTACCCACCTTCAGTCAGCTTAGGAAGGCCACGGTGGGCACCCAAATGCTACCTACCATGCAGTGGGTAGCGATTCATAACAAGTGGATTTACCAAAAGGGAAACTCAGCACCTCCACACCTCATGGGACTTAGGGCCATAGCCTGTGGGAAGCCAACTCTGGCCCATGTGCATGGGTGACCTCCAAGAGCCCCTGCCCTCTCTGCTGGGCAGCTCCAAAGATCCTACCCTGGAGAGTCCATCAGCCCCCAGACTCTCCCCCATGACAGGTAACCAGCAGTTGCTATCTCCAAACACTCTCCGAGCAGCACCCTACGGTGCTCCCTGCGACCCTCCCTACCACTGCCAGATGGGAAGCTTCCCACTATGCCTGGCAGGTGAGCAAGCCAGAGGAAGTGTTCAAGGACCTGGGCCTCGGTCATGAGGTGGAGCCATGCTCCGCCCTGTCTGAGTGCAGACAGAAGGTGACGGCAGCGCCAGGGGTGTTGGGGACGCTCACAGTTCACTGTCCACGTGGCCTACACCAAGGAAGCATTTTTTTCTCCCACTACCACCCGGGAGGGGCTGACATCCAGGTTACAGTCACAGGCTCACAGCTTCTGCAGAGGCGGATGAATCACTGTTCCAGTTTTATTTCCAGATAAAATGAGAAACAGAAAGACTCACAATGACAGAGGAAAAGTTTGTCTTGAGCAAATGTCGCTGTGCAAAGGGCCAAACGCAGTACAGGCTGGGGTCAGCAGAGCACAGGAAGCAGAGTCCACCCTGACCTTTGTCCTTTAGGTGGAGCTGTTTGGAGCTGCCTGTCCCTTAGGACCAGGGTCAGGCTTGGGGAAGAGGTGGCAGCAGCAGGCTGGCTGGGCAACCAAACAACCTTGTGTCTGCTTGGGCTACTGCAGCTTGCCCTACAGTGTCTGTGCCACAACACTGCTGCCTGGCACCGGGAGGCCGACTCACAGGGGGCCAGGCAAGGACAGCACAACCTCCATTCCTTCCTTTGTGCTGTGCTCTTTCGGGTCCTGAGTATGCAATGCTACCAGGCCCCGCTCTGAGATCCTGCTGTCAGTGCGCACGTAACTCATGCATTTCCTTACTGGGTGGCAGGAAAGGAGCTGGGAGCCACTGCCCCAGCAGCCTGGAGTGCTGCAGGGCGAAGGCCTGGGCACAGAGGGAGGGATGTGAAGAGAGGGCACCAGTGACCCTTCTTGGGGACCTCACACGAGGCAGGCAGGCACCACGCCCAGGAGGTGCGAAGGTGGGGAGGAGCCCCCAGCAGAGGGCTCGGGCCTGGGGAAGACCTGGGCCAGCTCCCTCCTCGGCAGTGGCTGCAAGGCATCAGCCCGACAGGAGGAAGCCCTGCTCTGCAGGACGGGCGTGCATCAGAGCCGCAGCCCACAGGCCACGCGAGGCTCTGGAGAGGCCTCGAGGTTCTGGGATGAAGCCCAAGGAGCGCCACTGTGCCCCAAAGAAGGCTGAGCTTGGAGCACCTGTAGGAACCCTTGAAGCTATAGTGCTAAAATGAAATAAGTCAGACACGCAGGATTAGATATCATGTGGTTTCTCTTATACGAGAAACCCAAAGCATAGACAGCAAAATAAAAGACAGATAACAAGAAACAGGGAGACAGAACTTTGGCAAATGGGAAGGGGACCAAGAGGTGGAGGAGGTGGGGAGCAGAAGGGACACAAAATGAGGACAGGTGGCACATTCACCAATGCCCCAGGATGCCTGTGGTCACTGTGTGCTGCAAAAGTGCTAATAAAAAGAATTAAAAAGAATCCTGAGGTGAAAATGTGAAGTCAGACTTAGGCAACGATGGAATGGCACTGACGTATTTTTATTTATTTATTCTATTTAAAATCCCCCCCACCCCTGCCCGGAACCGGGGATTAAACTCAAGCCCTTGCACTTGCCAGGGAAGCGCTTATTCTACTGAGCCATCTCCCCCCCCCCTCCTAAAAATTTTTTGTTTGAGACAGGATCTCACTATGCAGCTCAGACTGACCTTGAACTCACTTTGTAGCCCAAGCTGGCCTCACACTTGAAAGGGTCTTTGTGCCTCAGCCTCCTGAGTGCAGGACTACACACATATGCTCCCACACCCAGCAGCATGGCACTGGTGTGGGGCCTAAAATCTCAGGCAGTTCACTCGCAGGAACCAAACTCCGAGTCCTCACTGTCCAGCCCTGTGTCAGGCACTTAGTTCCACAAGGCTACATGGCCACAGCCAGGACCATCACAGCAAGCACCCCCCGCCCCCCATCGGGCTCCCTGGACCTGGTCACACAAGACCCTTGGTAGCCTTTGGTGGCTAAACTTGCTGAGCTCCATAGTCTCAGACCAGTGCTGAGTGAGCAGGGGTCACCTCAGGTAGCACAGAGAATGCAGGTGTGGAGTCGGGTGGGTGTCTCAGGAGGAAGTGGGCCAGGGTCCCACCAAATGCAAGGTGCAGCACTCCCCCTGGCTCTGCACCATCACCCTGGCTGCTCACCTGGCTGGCATGGCCCCCTGTCTATGCACCCTGAAAGTCAAGGTGTCGCTTGAAGCTGTGCTGGACGCAGACCAGTGGAGGAGACATGCGGCAGTATGCTGGGAAGGCCAGCGGGGCACTGTGCACAGTGGGGCACATCAAAGGCCTGTGCCAGGCTGGAGGAAGAGGCCACTGTCACCCTGGCTCCCCACCTGGAAGCTAGGGCTCTAGGTGGAGCTTCTATTTCTAAACGATCGTTGGGGGAGAGCCCAGTACTCCAGGGAGGCCCACTTTAGCTGGCTCAAAACCAGAAGGGGCTCTCCGAAGGCGAAAGGCTCCCCCTCACCACAACTGCACCTCACACGAAGCATACCGGCCAAAAGGCTATCAAGTGTGTCTTTAAAACAGCCACCCATGCAGGCTAACACTCCTCCACCGCCCTCCAAGCGACCTTCCTTCAGAACTCCCAAATCTGCCTCATGCAGGGGAGTACTTCCAGAAAAGTGGGGTGGGGAAGGCGGGGAGGAGAATCCACCCTCACCAAGTTCTGGGGCCAGAAGCAAGGCAGGAGAAATGTTCAAGCCCAGGATTTCTCAAGGTCAGCTGGGAATATAACACACAACCTCAAAACAAGTAGACAAAAAAACACACATCAAAGAACAAACCCTTAGCTGCCGCGGCATGGAATCCTCAGAGTAGTGGGCAGCTCCCTTTCTGGACAAGGACTCTCATTTCCCACTGTTTTCTCTCTCTCTGGATTTTTTTTTTTTTTGCAGAACCATGGATTGACATGTTTTTTTTTTTTTTTTTTTTTTTTGAGATAAGCTGTAAGTGGCTAATAGTGGCTAAGTTAGGAACTTGCAGTCCTCCTGCCTCAGCCTTCCAGAGTGCTGGTACTGCAGTCCTGTGCCACCATGCCTGGCTAGGTCTCTTTTTCTTTTGAATAAAGTCTTGCTATGTAGTTCAGATTGGCCTTAAACTCACTATGTAACACAGGCTGGCCTTGAACTCATGGCAATTCTGTCTCAGACTCCTGAGTGCTGGGACTACATGCACATGCTAGATCTTCTATTTTAAAAAAGCCCTTTTCTTAGGCCAAGGGCTAGTACCTGGGCCGCCAGGGAGAACACATATAGCCCATGGGGAAGAAGGCATACAGCTGTCTTCTAACCTGTGCAAGCTTGGTATCAGAATGTACCTGACCATTGAAACAATGTTAAAAATGGAGTTCAGGCCCTCAGCGCACCCCTGGCCAAAGCACAGCTTAGCCCGGGGGTCCAGACGTCCTCTGCTGAGACTGTGTCTACAGGGGACGGGGTGGCCAGAACACAGGCCCTGCCCACAGGCGCTTCATGCACCCACAGTGCAGGGCACAGGGGCCTGATGCTGAAGACAGGAAGGGATACTTGGGTCCAGCACAGTGGCACCTGGCTGCGAGGATGGAGAGAGCAGGGGCTGAGCAGCTGACCGTCATCCTAGGGCCCTGGTCCTGGAGGTGGGGCTATCCACACTGCTGACCTCGGCCACAGGTCACAGCCTATCAGCAGCCCGACCCCAAATCAGAATGGACTGAGTGTAGCAAGGCTGAGTGCTGTCCTAAGACTTCCTTCGGTTCCCACCAGCTCGGAGGCCTCCCCTCCTGGGGAGAGAAGTGGGAACCCTCACTACTGCATGCCTCAGGTGACGTCTGCCACACATACCACAGATGCAGCCTGGAACCAAGGCAGCAGGATGCTGGCTGAGCTTCCTGCTGGAATGAGGGCTGTGCATGGTGAGGGTGAAAGGTGGGCAGCGGGAGGGACGAGGGGTGAGGGGCCTACAAACCTGAATGCAGTGATACGTGTCTTCTATAGCACAGCCAAGCCCATCTCACCCCTCCACCACCTCACTGGGTTAGCTTCATGACAGACCCATGTCCCAATCCCTCTCTCCGTGGGTGACAGTCAGTGTCACAGCTCTGCAGCCTGGGCCAGGTGACTCCAGCAGCTCCAGTGTGAGGGAGGAGGCAGAGCTGTAGAATTTCCCATCTGGAGCCTCCTGGGACAAGCGCACCTGTGCAAGCAGCAGGGGAGGCTAACGACAGCAGGCCCAAGCCCCTCACGTCCCATAGAAGGCCTGACGAACACAGTGACATGGGATAGATGTGGGGGTGGGGGCAGCCCCAGCTACCAAACCCTGCCCAGCTGTGTGTGGCCCGTGAGGGGATCAGCAAAGCAGGCCTTCCCTGGCCCAGGTGGGATGCACCTCTCAGCCAATCAGTGGGTCACCCAAAGCTGCAGCCAAGTGGTTGGAGAGCAGGCTCCTTCCCCTACTTAAGGACTGGCTTGTCCATACCTGGGCTTCAGTGTTGGCTCAATACCTACCCTGGGCTGGGAAAAATGTGCTTTTTGCTCCTCTCACCCAGGTAATTCCCCAGAGCGCATGGGCCAGAAGGCCCGGGTGTCTAGTCTGAACAGATGATCAATGAAACCTCAGCCCATGCTCAAGTCATCTAGGATGAGGGGCTGAGAGGTTACCAGTCCCAAACTTAGGCTGGGAGACAGCACCAACTGTGAGTAAGAGCTGGTGAGCCTCAGGAGGGGGGTGCAGCTGCAGGTGGGCACCAGTCAGCCCCATGTTGATCTCATTTGGGCATGAACATGTCCTCTGGAGGACAAACTTGTCTAGCAATCCTAACCTGATTATTAACCACACTTCATACGTGAAATGGACAGCCTTGTTTTTCTAAACAGGAAACCAAAATGAACTGGAAGGCAAGGCATCTGCCAAGGGCCCGGCAGCCCAGCACGCGCCTCCCAGATCCATGGAGGGCGGACCGTGCCTTCAGTCAGGGCCCACCTTGTGTGGGGGGCTGCAGCGTGCCTTCCACAGACAGCGCACAGTGCTCAACATAAGTTCCCAGGAGCCACAGCGACCATGAGGAAAGCCCCCCGCGTCTCTTAGGACAGGGCTCATCTGCCACGGGTGCTGCCCAGCACCACTTCCTCAGATCGCAGGGTGCCGGAATCACACACTCGAGACTCCAAGTCCCGCAGTTTGCTGGAGAAGATGCAAGGACCCTGCACAGCTCTGAGGTCTGGGGAGAGGAATACATTTTTTTTTTTCCAAAGTTTTATTGACAAACAGATAGCAATGAGACAGTTTCAAATCAAGGAATACATTTTTGAGGTGAGATTTTAGAGCATTTTGGGTTCCCACCTTCTTTATAAAATGAAGTAACTCACAGCATAGAAAGATCCAGTTTCTTTATAATAATATTTTTGTTTTCATTGTGGTGGTGCTGAAAGTAGTGTTTTTAAATTTTTCATCAAAACAAAAATAGGACTACAGAACTGTCCGGAAGCGTAGGTGACACTGGGCTGTTTCAGAGGACTGTTTTGTCACTGTCTCTAGAACTCACTGCCCAGAGCAAAGATCCCACCCCGAGCTGACGTATCTCTAAAAGCAGAGCGGCAGCGCTGCTTCTGTCCAGTCCGCAGAGCTCCATCTGGCCTCAGTCCCCACTTCCTACCTGAGGAAGCAAGCCTGACGGGACATGAGCTCTGATCTGAGTCACAGCTGGCCCTGGGCCACAGTGCTAATGTGCCAACTGCCAGTGTGCAAAAGGCCACCACCCCAGACCCTTGCCAGGTACCAGAGCATCCAGATCTCTAATCTCGGTTTAGGAAACAGCCTACCTGTGCAGCTGCCCCCTCAGCAGCAGAGGCTGGAGGAGCCTGAGTGTGTGAGCTGGCAATGGGCCCCTCCTAGCATGTGTGGCATCCCGGCACTGCTCCTACCTGTGCTTGCTGTCTGCTGAGGACAACCCTGTCACCTGCCCTACCTCCCTGCTCCTCTCAGAGAAAAGGCACCTTGGGGGAGGAGCGTGACCTGCAGGCGACAGGGCACAGTGAGCTGATGTGGGCAGGCTGGCAGAGCAGGCGGGCCCAAACACATCACCCAGGGCCTGGGGCTGGAGGCCCTGAACAAAGCCAGGGGAGTGCTTGGTCTTAGAAGGGGTGTCCTCAGAAGGAGGCTCCTTAGCAGCAACTTCCTGGGACGTTCAGGGCTGCTGGGAAGGCAGCCAGGAGAAGGTGTAGCTTAGAGCCACCTTCCACAGTGGCTCACGCAGACCAGTGGCATAAGGAGCTGTAAGGGTCACTGTAGTTGGCTGGATCTGCACTGGGCTTCTCGAGAGCATGGGGTGGAATGAGTAAAATGTGTGTGGAGAGGGGACAGTAAGCTGGGTCGGGGCACTAGGAGGCGGGGGCACAGCAAGCTAGCAGGGGAGGGGCTGGCTATGTCCCAAAGGCACTGCAACATGGGTTCTGGGCACAGCACGGTGTGCTGACTGCTCTGCTAGGAGATGGTGGTCATCTAGATATCTAAGCTCTGGGTGCCCAGGAGGGGGAAGCCAAATGCCCAGGAACTGTTTCCCTCTCGGATTCCTCCCCAGTGCACAGGCAGTCTTGATGGTCGGACATGAGCCAAGTTCCTCAGCTTGTCTTAAAGAGAGTGGCACAGGTGAAGTCAGTGTGCACAGGAGGGTCACAAGGTCTGCGGTAAGGACAGAATACTGCGGCAAGCGGCAGCCCGTATCACCAGAACCACTGTAGACCACTGCACGCTCCCACGGCAGATTCGCCTGACACAGGCGTTCTTTTCCTAGCCACTTTGTGGGAACAGAAGGTAAAGTTCAAAAAGAGAACCAGGCCAGACTTAGAGTGTCAGGGAAATGCAGGGCTGCTCCTGACTTGAGCTCACAAGTATCACAGCCCGCAAGCACAGCCCAGGGAAGGAGAGGACCTTGCATAGGATGCGGCCGCAGGGACCCTCTGCCCCTCCGCTGCTGGCCCCCAGGGCTTCCTGCACAGAGGAGAGAAGGGTCTGAGCACATGGGGGTCCATGAGTGTGTACTCCACCTCGATAGCCAGGAATCTTCCTCCCAGGGGCCGTGCGTGTCAAGATTTCCAAGATGGGAAGTGACTCCAAACAAGGACAGGACTTCTCTCAGTGTCTCTCTAAGCTTCTTCCTCATGCTATTGAGTCTCCAAGGGAGGTGGGGACTGATCCTGTGGCAGACATAACTAATACCTGGAACAAAGCCTTCTGTCTCCAAGTGGTCAGCTGGCTGGGACTGATTTCCAGGAAAGGAACGGGCACATGGTCACCATCAAGCAGCGTCCATTTGGAGACACTGGTGTGCACTTCTCTCCCTAAAGTGGGAGGAAAGAACTGGCTTTGGGGTTGGTTCAGCCACTAGTTTTATCAAGAAGGTAAAAATCAGTTTCTCCAAGTTGCTTTTCTCATCTGGAAAACGGCAGCAGTAGCCTACACTGGCGGCTCTCAAAGCGCGGCCCTCTCCAGGCGGCTCTTTGCAGGCGCACTGTCGGCCTGCTGGGAACCTGAGCCCACCACCTCTGAAGACGGGCCTCGCTGACCTCTCCTCGTCCAGCTCTGCAAACCCAGGCTTTTCCCTTGACCACCTCCATGCTTGGAACACCACTACCTGGCAAATACGAAGTGTCCGCTGTGAGCAGGCACCAGGGAGCTGTGGAGGACCACCTGAGCAGCTCTCCTTGAAAGAAGAGCGACTGTCTCCATTTTGACTGAGCCTGATCCTATTTCCTTGTATTGTTATGTAGAGAGCTGGCTAGGACTTCTGTTTATCCTTCAATTGGCCTTAAGCAATGTGTATTGGTCTAGCTGAGGTGCTGGCGATAGTCTTTGAAGGTGGCGTGCGTGTTTCCCTGGTAACCTATACCTGCTGCTCTTTAATGTGAGCCTGGTTGAGACAGGACGGTGGAGCTAATGCTCCACGGAGCCAGCTGGGATCGAGCCCGAGACAGAGGCTATGACTTCCTGGGGCTTGAAAGGCTACACCAAAGCTGAAGCACCAGACTTACCAAGACGTTAGATACTATATAATGCAGATTACTCTCTCTGCATATGGCAGAGGTAAATTTAGCCCACCCACCTAGCCCAGCTCATAGTGTCTCTTTCCCACAATTCTCAGTCAATCCTCAAGCCGCTCCCCCACTGAATAAAACCGGGTGAGGCCCTGGGTCTCTCTCTTGGTTCCGGAAAGCCATCTTCATGGCTGGACTTAGAGCTCCTTGACTCCCCGATGACTGAAGATATAATTTAGTGTCTTTATTTTAGCCGTGGGTTGCATTGTAAGTGGTAGATTGGAGTCAATTTGATGGGATTCCAATAACGTAACTTTGGGATTACAAATACTGGCTTCTTGGACCGAGACAAGGACCTAGAAGTGTCTCCTACAGGGAGCAAGCCCGAGTCTGCCCAGCACAGGGCCAACCACAGGGACGCACCGCGGCTCATTCAGTGCCTGGTCCACTGGGTGAGCAGCCCGAAGAGGTCTTCCCACAACTTTCCTCTCCAGCATGACCTTCCACAACTTGCTGTACTCTATTTTTTTTTTTTTTTTGGTGGTTCCAGGGATCAAATCAGGACCTCATACTTGCCAGGCAAGCACTTATTCTACTAAGCTATCTCCCCAGCCCCTCGCTGTACTCTAAAAACCAAGGTATTTCTACATACCTTGGAGGTGCAAGGTGTTCATGAATAAATTGTTCCTGCATTGCCTTGAGCAGGCTAGCCAAGCAGTCTACTACTACTGTGCTACACCCTAAGCCTTAGGTATGGCCAGCTAAGTAGGCACATAAACAACTGAAGGCATTCTAGAAAAAAAAAAAAAAGGAAAGAAAGAAGCTAGTAGCACAGATGACATTTCTTCCTCCTAAACTATTTCGGTGACTCACAATATCACAGGTCTAAATGCTATTCTAGGCACAAGATAAACACCAGGTGACATTTTTAGCAGTCCACTTCGCTTTAGGACTTGTACACAGGAAATTCAAAAGTAAAAACTGAGGAGGAAAGACACAAGCAAACTATCACAGTGCTGTAAACAAGACTAAACTCAGCTCCTCTTGCTACTGGCATCTGCCAAGAGCTCTCCCTCCTCTCTCCAGGGGGCCGCCAGGAGCAGGCAGGCAGGAAGGGTCTCGGTCTGCGCCCAAGGACTCACTCCAGGGCAGAGGTAAATTTCCCTTAAACAAAACCACAGCAGGGATTTGACCCATGGAGTGAAAGCAGAAACTGGAGTTCCCCTGAGCTGCACAGGGCAATAAGCTCCTGTTTCCATGAATAAAAACAACCCAACTAATAATTAGCCTCACATGCATAGCTGCTTCTGCTCAGAGGTTGGGTCAGAACAAACCACAGACTTAATGTGCCAAGTTACAAAACAATTCTTTCTCTGACAGTAGGTATTTATTCAGGTAACACCAAACACATGACAGTAAGGGCTCAGACTCCAGGGACAGCAGGAACTTAGGACTGAGGAGTTCAGCTGTAGGTTGCTTAGTAACAGAGGTAAAAGGTAAATAAGCTGAGCTGACCTTGTCCATACAAGAAAGACCGTGAACACCACAGAAGAAGCCGCTTTTCCTAGCACAGCACTCTAGAAGGAACTTTGAGGGTGTGATGTGACTGTGAACTGGGTCTTCACCTTCGGTCGGGCGAGATCTATCCCATTCTTCACCTCACGCCAACATATCTTAGGGAAACAAACCACTACTGCAGCCCGGCATGTTGTCTTCAGAGGCCCCGACTCTCCCATGAAGAATTTGCGGGAAGTACATCATACACCATCTAGTTCAGGCACCAGTTATGACAACACAAGCAACCCTCTCTTCCTCCCGCAGAGCTCGCACAGACAGCCAAACAAGAGCCAGGCTGAGGCTGGCCAGAGAGCTCAGCAGACCAAAGCGCCTGCTTCAGCAGAATGCAGCAGCCAGGATTCGGTCCACACTGACAGTTAATTGAGAGGGGCGTGGTGGCGCGCACCTGTAATGCCAGCACTTGGGAGGCTGAAAACAGGAGGATCACTATGAGTCCAATCTACATATTGACCCCTATACACCCTGTAGGCCCCGTCCTAAATTCATCAAAAAACAAAAGCAAAACCAGAAAATCAGGCTGGGTGTGGGGTCAGGTCTTATGGCTTTCATTGCTTTTCATGAATGAAACTGGATAGGCTCAGAAGGCAGGAGCTGCAAACAGCAGGACAGAACAAGAAGGCAGGAGTTCTGGGGAAAGGAGACTGCCACCATGAGTGTGGCCCCAGGCACTTCAAGAGGACCCGCTGACAGGGGACAAGTGGCATCCTTTAGTGCTGCCTCCTTGGAACTGGATGGTTTCCAGAGGTTGTAGTGTCTGTGTACCTCATGATGGGCCCCTAGACCAGCAGCAGGTGGCACCTCCTGCCCCCAGTCCAGGGAAACCAACTGAGTGCATCTCTTTGGAGTGTGGACAGAAATACTGTCAGTGCCACTGAAACAAGCCCAGCATCATTTTGCTTCACCCCTTGAAAGAGGAAGGGAGGGCCCAGGGATATAGCTCAGTGGCATAAGCACCTGCCTGGCAAGTACAAGGTCCTGAGTTTGATTCCTGGTACCACCAAAAAAAAAAAAAAAAAAAAAGAAAAGAAAAGAAAAGAAAAAAGGAAACAAGAGATTAGATTAGCAGCTCCCCAGGGATGAGACTCAGAGACTCCCATGGGCTCTGTGTCACATCTGCACTCAGATCAATCTTTTCTGGGGCTCAATGGGAGCGACTGACACTCCTGGCTGAAATTTGGGGTCACAGCTGGGTGACTGTGTGGCTGTGGGTCAGATGCTCCAAGCTAAGTCTGAACTTCACTACCAAACATCGCTGAGAATGCAGAAAACAAATGTGGGACACAACACTGGGTTACAACAACTCATCCCATACTTTTCTACTGTAAATTCATCCTTTGGCATAATAGTAACTGACTATGCTTTCAGTAGCTGTGCCTAGAGGATGCAGGAACACTCTTAGTGTTTGCCCTCTTGGTGTGACAAATGGTAAGATGTGTGCACATGTGCAGAAGTGTCAAACTGGGATTTGTACCCGTATCATGTCTGGCTAGCAGGCTTTGTGTATGTCTACCTGAGCATCCCACGGGGTAAAATACACCTGCACCAGCCTTGCATTCTGGGAGTACGTACTGTGCCGTCAATGGAATGTGGGTGCAGCTGCATCTGGGTAGAGCAAAAACCCCTTTGTGCATTCACCCACCTGGCAGACTATCAGCAAGGCATACACGGAATAGCCACGGCAGCAACAGGGGAGTTTTACACACAAAATGAACACTGCTAAATCTCTGTGCATTCAGGATTCAAATTTTCTTTTGATTTTTCTGGTAACAGTAGCCTAACTAAGCACAATGGCATACGACAAACCAGATTTAAAAGTTTTGGAGGTCGAAAGTAAATCATCAGTTCATTCATGCATGGATGATGAGGATGCTAATGAAGCTGACCTTGGTCAGGTGGCAAAAGTTCCTGTGACAGTGAAATGGAGCAAAAACTGACAGATACAAATACGGGAAATGCAGATTTCCTTGGCTGAGATGATGAAGAAAACAGCAATGTGAGTGCATATTTGACTAGTAGAAATGGTACAAAATGGTCACCCACTCAAATGAAATAATCCAAAGTTAGAACTAGGTCCAAAAATATACTGAGGATCTTGGCAGGGGTGAAACCATTGGATGGAGTGCCAACATTGCCATTAAATGTAGGAAATTATTTGTTAACAGATGAGATGCTTCAAGATGTTGTGAGGGGCTGGTGAGATGGCTCAGTGGTCTAAAGCACCTACTTAGAACAAGCTTAGCAAAGCACAGGGACCACGGTTCAATCCCCCAGCACCACATGCCAG